TCTTTTCAGTCATCCATTTATTCATTAAAAGACAAAATAATTTTTGTCATAAACTTATTATCGATTTCTGTCTATAATATAATAATAACAGCTATTAGTTTATGTCATATAGTGGGAGACAAAAAAATTGCAAAAAACATATAAATCTTATAATAAAAGCATAAATTATGAAAACTAAGTCTGAAATACAATCAGATATACAATATAACACTACATTAAATGCCAGTGAATTTAATTGAATATATCAGCGAGAAAATGGTATTTAATTATTCATTGGGAGGTTTACAATGGCATTACTTTTTTTAGATAGTGTGTAGTGAATAGTGTACAGAGTTTTTCAATATAGTTAATTAATTTGAGTTTTTAATGAATTTCTAGAGAGAGAGAGAGAGAGAAATAGTGTGATAAATGTTTCCTAAAATAATTAATACAACAAAACTTATGAAATATTTATAAAAAAAACAAGTAATGAAAAAAATTTGAAAAGTATTTTCTCATACAAAAATAATTATTGAATATAATAGAAATAGAAATAGAAATTTTGAAATAAAAATGCTGTATTTTCTATACAACGACAAGTACTAAACAAAAGTATACTTTAAAAACCAACAAAAAACTGATAGTTCACTGTAAGTAAAAAAATAAGTATAAAACACTTAAATCATAACAATATAATATAAATTGAGAGGCAATTTATATATAAGAAATATTGTGTTTTGACACATGGAGTGTCGCACCCGATAAGGGCACCGGGATTTAAAAAAGGTGAGAGTAAATCACGATAATAGTCCTTCAAGTAATAGCAAAGTATCATCCACAACATATTTCCTATAGTCTGTTACCACAATAAATCAAAAAATTAAATTCAAATCTTAACGTATAAAATATTACACCCTATGCCTCCCATTCCTATCACTTGATACACAAAATATAAAACATCAGGGATACTAATAATCAAGTAAATATGCATGTTAGCATGAATGGTGATATAGTCTACTGGAAAAAATAAATAATTTTTCGAAATAGTGTATTTAAATTGTGGTTGTATATAAACTATGTTTAATGTATGCTTAATTTAATTGGATTAAAATATGACCAGGGTACGAACCGTTGCTGAGAAGTGCGAAAAAGGCTTTTTTGACGACAAGCTGCGTGTCGAAGACGACTAATTTGGCACTGACCGGGATCAGGTCGTAACAACGATAAAATTTGAAAAATTTCACATAAATTAGGTTTTCATTATCTGTAATAGAAATACACAAAAATGTCAATTAGTTAAATGTCATACAATCTTAATGTGGAAATCTATTTGAAAATATATCCATTAACTCTCGATATGCAATATAAAAGACAATTTATGAATATATCCAATATATTTTATAACACAGTATGCTGGTCAATAAAGTAATATAATATTGTTACCTAGGTGTGCGATTACATCATTTTATTAATTCACTTATACATACGCTTATTGTGTAATAAATAATTGTTATTCAAAATCAGTGGTACGTTCAGTGTATGTAAAATAAGTTTTATACATAACTACATCTAAAATTAAATTAAAATTTATGCCCAATAATCACACTATAAGCAAGCTCATACAGAGTCTAGCAATTCATTTATCCCTTAACTCTACAGAATAAATAATACGATTTAAATGCCATTATATACGGTATAATACGATCTTAAATATCGAGAGTTAGTTGCCATGGATTTGCTGGAGATTAGCAAATAGATAACGAGATGCGAGATAATGAGATAAATTACCGAGATCTTCGAAGTCGAATCTATCACAGATAGGCTCTCCAGAACCGAATAACTAGATCAAATACAAATAGCAAATTAATTNAGATCTTCGAAGTCGAATCTATCACAGATAGGCTCTCCAGAACCGAATAACTAGATCAAATACAAATAGCAAATTAATTCATACATTTATATCGTATATATATATATATAAGTAAAGCTCAATGAATTAGAAAATGATAATGAAAATCAAAACTATAAATAAGTCTAACAATTGTAATATAAGTGCATTTAATTATAAATTGAAATTCAACACCGTACCAATCAAATGATTATTATGTTTTGATAGTACAATAATAGATAATATGTTATGTATGTTATATTAAATCTATTTTCGTAATATTGATACAAATATACCATGTGTAATAGTCTGTGTAGCGTATTAATAACCATGGCTATTGTATTTCAATCACGCAATTATTCAAATCAATTACATAATAAGAAAATTTAATATTTTTCAAAAATACTATTCTTGAGGCAATTTACTGTATATTTGTGACTAAAAATACATTTAATATATAATTCAATAAATCAATTGAATGGGAAGAAAATTATACACAAATATAATAATAACATAACAAAACCTGAATTCAAAAAATAAATTAAATTTTTTCCTTAAATAAATAAAATATTTTCTTACATCTCGTGAGTGAAACAAAACTCGTAACAAAAATAAGACAAAAAATTTATCTCAAATACATAAAAACTATTAAAAATTACAAAATAAATTTTTATATCGAAAGTAAAAAACAAATTACTATTTTCCGATACATTACACAGAATCTCATTCAATAACATTCTGTGTGTACACCTGTTTATTATCAACAGAATATTCTTTAAACATAGAGAATATTCCGTAGACTGTATGCCATCGGGAAAAATGTAATTAAAACTCGTACACAAATAAATAAATAATTACAAACAAACACATGACTATATTACTATAATATATAATAAACAAAAATTAATAATTCATTAATAAATCCATGAATTCATACCACAGTTGAATGGGTTTTAAGGAATTTTCGCCGCAATTTTCGGACCGCCACTTGCATCGCGGTCATCGGGGCTAATAATATGAATGGGTCGAGTATTTTGTTGTATATATTTATATGGATTTATATATATGTTTGTATATATAATTATTACCAAAAAATATTATTGTCAACACTAGTAATTATATTAATTTCAATTCTCAAACATGTTGTAAATCTCTCTTGGTAATATAATTTGTTTATGTAATATTTCGCAACAGAATAATAATAATAATAATAATAACACTCGGAATCAATACACAGAATATTCTTCAATGCATGGCATTTAGAGTGCGATATATATTCTGTATATTAACAAACGCTTTTCAATACATGTATATAACGATC